GAGGGAGCTGAAGGGGAGCAGTGGTTCGGCCGGGGGCCGCGCGGACCGCGTGGGGCGCAGCGGCCTCCTGCCGGGCGGAGCGGAGCCCGCGCCGTGCTGCGCTGCGAAGTAGCCCGCGTTTCTTCAGTCCCTGCGTGTGGAAGGACTGGGCTGGAGACCCCGAGTTGGGGTCAAGTCCGTGCGCAGCGTCGCGTGTGGCGGGCGGCCGCTCGGGCCGGGCCCCGCGTGCGCTCTGCTCTGCGATCAGCTCTGGGTGGCGGGCCCCGCGGCCGCCCGCGCCACCTCTGCGGAATCCCGGGTGCTGCTCTCCAATAAAACTCGCTCCGGGGCTGGGGACTTAGTTCAGTGGCGTAAGCGCCTGCCGGGTAATGCAAGGTCGTGAGTTCGATCCCCCGTACCGCAAAAAAACAAAAAGAAAACAACTCCCTTAACTCCTTTTTTTGGTTCGCAACTTCATTCACCATTTGGGGAGCCACGAGCTTGCTACCTGAGGCACGGGAGAGTAGTTCTCAAATACCTGCTTGCAGTTTTGAAACACCCGGAACCTGTTGCCTTTGTATGACCCCGGATACGGAGGTCTTTCACGTTTAATTTTCCTCATCCCCAACACATGTAAGTACCTTGACAAGTATAAAGGCACATGCCTGTGATAACTCCCCTTGGGATGCTGAGGCAGGAGGATTGCATTGAGTTGGAGGCTGGCCTGTGCTACATAGGGACAACCTGTCCCAAAAATACATAAAAATTCCTGGGCTGCTTTGTCGTTTTATTATCTAGGCATTCTGTAGCCCATACCGTTTTTTCCTGCAAGACTTAATTGCAGTTGTGTCTTGTATATATTTGTGAATGTTCTGTTGCTCTCCCTTACAATGCTGTAAGCTCAGTGCCTCATGGAGAAAGCAAACAACTCTTTCTTTATATCAGGTTCCCATCGTAACTTAACGGGAAACTTCACAATGTCCGGAGCCCTTGATGTCCTGCAAATGAAGGAGGAGGATGTCCTTAAATTCCTTGCTGCAGGAACCCACTTAGGTGGCACCAACCTGGATTTCCAGATGGAGCAGTATATCTACAAAAGGAAAAGTGATGGTCAGTTGCTGCTTTGATTTTTGTTACTTTAGCTGTAAGTACAAGTTTTGGTAGTGCTGTTCTGAGGAGCAGTTACTGGTTTTTGATGGTGGTTGGGAGGAAAGTTTCTGAGCTCTGGTGGCAGTTGCTGGTTTAGGGAATTTGGGCTGGGTAGTGACAAGCAATAAATTATGAACACAAGTTCCTGGTAGGGCCTTCAGCTTCATAGGTGCTAGAATGGGTTTACTGAACTGAGTTCTGAGCAAAGACTAGGATAAAAGGTAGGAATAATCAGTTAGCTCAGAAGAATTAGGTTGGGGGGTGTTAGGTTGACAAGGCTGATTACTCAGCTTAGCGACAGCCACATGACTTAAGAGTCTGTCACAGCGAAGTAATAGTGACAGGGGGCTTAGTGGTTGGGGGGAACCACAGGAAAATACAGACGGGGCCAACTGAGTCGAGGTCGCACACTATTAAAGCCCAGGTGAGGCTAGTCTTGCCGGCCAGTGAACTTCTGGGTGTCGGAAGTGTGCTACATTACTGGCAGGATTTTCGCGAACACCAGTAGAACCTGCCGCTGTGGCTGGAGTTTGCTGGCGCTCACTGCCACATTGCCGTTTCATGGAAGAAGAATGTCCTTCTGGCCCTGCCCCCGCGCCGAAGTCCCTATGGGGCTGGGGAGAGCCTGCTTAGCATGTACAAGCCCTGGCTGCAGTCCCCACACAGCCGTGTCTGCTCACCTAGGAATCTACATCATAAATCTGAAGCGAACCTGGGAGAAGCTTCTGCTGGCAGCTCGAGCCATAGTCGCCATTGAAAACCCTGCTGACGTCAGCGTCATATCTTCTAGGAACACTGGCCAGGTTTGTGAACCAGTGCTTGTTTTTATACAAATGAAGCTTGTTTCATTTCAGAAAGACTTTCTTAGGGTGGGGCACAGTTCTTGTCTCCAGATCTTCTAAGGATCTTTGGCAACTTGAGAAGTATCTGGGGTTTTTAATGATTAGCGGGATCAGATATTTGTCCTTTTTCTTGGGTTCTGAGATTCCCTACCCCCAGTGAAGAAAACTTAGATCACTCTCTTCAAGACAGGGTCTCACTATGCAGTTCAAGATGGCTTGAACTCACTCTGTAGCCCAAACTGAGCTGGCCTCAAACTCGCAGCAGTCCCCTGCTTCAGCCTCCCTAGTGCTGGAATTAGAGGTGTGCGCCACTATACCTTAGATTTCTTTAAATCAGTGATAGATTGACTTAATGAGAGTTGTGGGATAATTTCTTTCACCCCAATTTTTGGCAAACTTAAAAATTAGGTAGCAGCATTATTCTGCTTCAGTGTTGGCAGCGACACCCAGGTCCTGTGACGGTTTTCCTTTGGTTTTTCAGACAGGGTCTCACTGTTTTCATCAGGCTGGCCAGGAGCTCAGTCCTTTCTTGGCCCTCCTGGGTGCTGAGGTTACAGGTGTGCACCACCACACCTGGCTTCTGTGAGCATTTTTATAGGTCACTCCCAGACACGGATTGTGACGAGGCACATGGCAGAAGAGAGTTGTAATTACTGTTGTGGAGTGAACTTGGTGACTGCTTGTCTGCCTCTGAAAGTGAACAACTTACTAGGCTGGACCATGCAGGCCTGTCTGGGTGTTTGGACTACAGCAGGGAGATCTCTGGAGAAGGAAAGGGGAGGGCACACAGTAGCTCTTGATTAAATTCGACTGGAGGCCAAACATGTTTGGTAGGTAGCCCTATTCTGTTAAGGATATTCACTTCTTGAGCCTATAATAAACGTGGGTATAAATAACTTGCCAAAGTCACAAAGCAGTGCCCTTGGCACTTAAGCCCAGGCGTGGTGGTGGACACCTGTAATACAGAACTGAGAGGATGAGGCAGGAGGGTTACAGATAGACATGAGGGAGCGAATAAGCCAGACACCTGAGGGAGTGGAGGTGGGAGAACATTTCAGCAGGCAGGAGACATAGGGTTGGGGACGTGTAAGTACTTCTCAGTTAACCTAGAAGATAGGAAAATTAACTGGGTTTTGGTTTGGTTTCCCCTTTTTCCCCTCCAGTGCTGGGGATTACACCTAGGGCCTTACGTGTGCTGGTAAGCACTGTACCTCCACTGAGCTGCAATCCCACCCCTGGTGCTTTGAATGTAAATTTGAGGGTTTCATTTTTGAGGAAGGGCGTGTGAGCATTCCAGCTAGACCAGCTGCTTACAGCAGTACAGACTGGATATCTGCACTGTTCTATGAAATCATCCCTGGAGTGCTGCTAACTCATTTCTTACTTCAAAGCGCGCTGTGCTGAAGTTTGCCGCTGCCACTGGAGCTACTCCTATCGCTGGCCGCTTCACTCCTGGGACTTTCACTAACCAG